CTAGACCTCACTAAAAATGAGGTCAACAGTTGTGCTCGGTGATATTTATGCGAGTGAAGGAGTTGCAGTCTAAATTTATAAATGGAGAAAGTAATTGAGATTTGCTCAAATCCCTAGGAAATTTCTCAGGAAAAATAACTAAGAAACTCAATCAAGAGCTGAAATAAGGACACTCAACTACGATATTGTTTGAAGCAAATGCACGTAGTAGGAAGGCTTCAGATTTTTCTAACTTATGTGTGACATTGATTCGGTGATGGATCACACGCAACAACAAGTGTACTCGTTCGAAGGAGAATTTGTGATTCCATAGTGGAAGCGCGCTACCAACCAACTGACAATGACACAAGTGGGAAGCGATAGCCCTATCGTAAATAGTTGTTACCCCTTCCTCGTGCTAAATCCACTGTGCGAGGTTAAATTCACCAATAGGGGGGATTTATTAAATCACGGATTTACGAACAAAATTTGCAAAATCTGGATTTACTGTAGTCGCGGCTTTCTTTTGTCCAAAAAGATCTTCTGGCAAGATATAAGTTCAATCCTGGCCTAAGCCCGTTGCTAGACAACCCTTAAAACCTTAAAATCACCGAACTCCCACATCTTGCCATTTGGATGGATTTAATAAATTCAGTGATATTAGAAGCCTCCACCTGACAACCCCTTAAAGTTTTTTTTTCTCTTTATTAGAGTAGCCAGTTCAAATATTAAAAGTTTATCTTGATATACCAAACAAGTAGCCAAGATGAATTAAAATGATAACTATATTCTTAATTTAAAAGTAGGAGCTTCCTTCCATAACTTCTAGAGTACTAATCCTTTTAATGATATACATAGATGTATCGAAAGTGTGACCAATGTGGCTTTATTTTGGGTTTCTTAAGGAATGTTAAGCAGAAATTTAACAATGAAATTGCTTCAAACCTATGCCCTCTAAAAGAAGAATGAAATCTCCAACAACTAGAATTTTTATTACTTTGAATTATTGCAGATTTTATGTTGATTGATACATGGAGGATATCATTATCCATTTATATTCTTAAACTCCTCAATGCCTCCAAGCTTGGACTTTGCTAAGTTGGTGCAATGGGTGATAATTCTAATCTAAAGGGCAAACTTGCTACTTGAGTTTGATTCTCACTTCTATCACTTCGAGGACTGTTGGGTGATGATAATAATAATAATAATAATAATAATAATAATAATAATAATAAAGATGTATGCATCTTTGCAAGGTGGAGATGATTAAAAATTGTGTTTGTGGTTTGTTCCCCAACCATGGAGGTTGGGTGTTGACATCTCTTTCGGTCGAGGTGCAGTTTTCCCTTTCTTAGTAGCCTAGGATCTAGCCGTAGGACCTTTCTGTCGGCTACTCTTAGAAAACTAGTTAAGGAGCCCTCCCCGTTAGCAATTCTGAACTTTTCTTCGCTCGACTTGACGTTCCATATTAGATTTGACCGCTATTGCTTAGCAGGTAAGACTATTCTGAAGGAACTCATGGAGTATTCCTATAGGATTGTCGGCCTTAGGATTGACTGTACTCGTTGATTTGGCGCCGCCGTCCTTTGCGCCGTCCTGTTTTGTTGAACTCGTACCGGAATTTTGATAGGATTCGGACCGTGACGCATTTTTGACTCGATCGACGACGATGTTGCCCAGACGACTTCTAATGACAAAACGGACTGCGCAGATGCGTCCGGAACATCGATTTTGCCTAGGGGGGACGTTCGTTTCATTGCGACGACGCGTCTTGGGGAAAATATATATTTAAATGTTAATTATAATAATAAATAATATTTATTATTATTATTATTATTATTATTATTATTATAATTATTAACTTATATTAAAAATGCTCGTTCGGTTGCCCGACCCGCTCATTCTTCGTGTCGTTGGAGGGATTCGTTCCCGCATTCGCCTCTTGCACGTGAGACAAATCTCACAGACGCCCATCCCTCGTATCCTTTCTTCTGCGTTCTGAGTTCGATCTGTGATGGGATTGTGCGGAGAGCTGCCTTGTTACTTGGGATGTTATAAATGAGAATGATGGTTTACAAGGACGAAAGTGTTTCTTGGTGAAATGGGAAATAATGATAAAGATTGGATTTGAGCAGTGGCTTTGAATATGCTATTTTCTTACAACTTTACAGAAATCTTTTCCTTTCAAAACTTTCACAGAAAAAGAAAGTTTTATCTAGAATTTAAAATTCAAATTATTAAATTATCCAAAATAAATTTAAAATTTAAAACTTATTTGTTGTCATTAGGATTTCAATCTAAGGATCCAATTTTTGAGGCCTTGGATTTATCTTGTTGCTGATCCATGTTTCACGTTTGAACTCCAGATGATTTGATTTTTGCATCCAGGGGCATGATTTAAAATATTCCTCCAAATAGATTCTTATGGGCCAAATATACATGGCAAATAACATTTAGCTTATTCTGTTTATACTCTTTTGATGCAGTTTATATGATCAGATATTTCGGCCCAGCAAGTTGCCAGCACATGCTGATTTTCATTGTTTTAAAGCTGGGATAGAACCTAAGTGGGAGGATCCTGAATGCGCGAATGGGGGTAAGTGGTCTATTTCAAGTAGCAGAAAGGCCAATCTTGACAGCATGTGGTTAGAGACGGTAAAAATTTAGGCCCTTCATCCACTTAATTTAAAATTATATTTTGCTCGTCTGAAGTTTGTAAATAGAAATTTGAGTTCCTATTTGTAGGTGATGGCTCTGATTGGAGAGCAGTTTGATGACGCTGATGATATTTGTGGTGTTGTTGCGAGTGTACGCCCGAGGCAAGATAAACTTGCTCTTTGGACTAAGTCTGCTAGCAATGAAGCTGTTCAGGTTCCATGCTTTTTTGGACCACATTTTATTTATTTTTCTAGTATGCAATTACTTGGTGGTGGTTTGTGATTTTTGATTGGTTTTTTTATACTCACTAGTATACATACATTTCTTTATTTCTTTCAGCAAAATACCTGATTTTGGATTATTATAAAAAAATTAGTTTTAATTGCTTGGTCGAATGTATAACTGAATCATGTAAGTGGAAAATTAAAAAAAACAAGGTAAACTTGATGGTGGGAGGAGATTAAAATTTACTAAATCCTGTTTAATTTTCTAGTTCGATTTGGTGTCTTCTTTTTTATCACATCTTAGCTTACATAATTAGGAAGTCCCTAGGCTTAGTTTAGAATTCAGTAGTATTAAATCCACTTTATTTGACTTGTTCTCTGAACCCAAATCGCCCATGGTCTACGGCTACTAGTTCCCAGGCGGAACCATGGTTGCACCTTAATCTGATTACTTTGTTCTCTCCATTTGCATGCTCAGCTACTAGGGGCAGATGCTGTAACAAATAAGGGAAATAAGTAGTATAATCTTAATAAAGTGTTGCTCTAAACTGAAGATGAAAATAATTCTCGGCAAATCAACTGTTCTATTCTTCTAGAATCAATGGTTTTGTGTACATCTCTAGTAGATCGGGTGAGACGTCCATCTCAGATTGGCTGATGTGTGCGCCTCTTGATTAATTTTATTTCTTATATTAGACATTTTGAATACGATCCGAAGCTACAACTCTCATGCTCAAGAGCTCCCCTCTCCCTAGTCGGGCTTCCCAGCATCTCTGCCTGCTATTGTTGCCTTAGGCGCTGCCGCCACTGCCGCCGCTGCTACCTTTGGCACCAGCACCGTTGTTGCTGCTTTCTGCTTTTGCAACATCTGTTGCCTCCTTCTTCCATCTGCAGCTCCCTGCTGCTTTTGCTGCCGCTGCAGCCGTAAGCTGATCTTGCTGGTGCAGTTGCCGTCGTCACCTGCAAATGCTCCTACTACAGCCGCCTTGGCCGCCTGATTTTGCTTACTTGCAGCCACCTCCGCCTGCTGCCACTCCAGCTGCAGCCGCTGAGGCCTGCTCCTACTGCCAACTAATGTTATTATGTTGGTGGGACAATAGGAGTGAGAAAATTTTGTTATTTTAAACTCATGTTATATCTTTGTTTGATATTTTATGTTATTTTCATTTTATATTTTATATTAGCTTGATGATTTAATCAATTGATGTTTACATTATATTTTTATTTTGCACAAGTTATATGATATTTTGCGGCATGCACTTCATATAGACTCAATGTGTCAATTTTTATCATGTTAAGATATTAATGTGTATTTCTTGAATATATCTATAAGTTATGATGTTAATATATCTTTTTTTTTACACATTTATTTTTACTTAGACAATTTTCAAACCACGAGGCTCACATTTCAGACCATCTCAAGGCTTACGCTTCGTCTCACAAATGGAAAACATCTCAATACTTAATTGCCCAATTTTAAATATTGTTTTTATGAACATAGGCTGTCTCACATGATGCATCATGGATTTGATGCTATTTATTGATGCTCTTTATTTACCTTGCCATCTGGTTCTTGGGGATTTTGGCGTTATTCATGTAGCACAGAATCATCACCTTGGTAGAAGTTTTTGGCTAAATGCATATTTGGAAAAATGGGAGTCAATGAACACTAGGCTGGATAATGCAATTAAGCTATTTTGTTTGATCCTACAATTCTTATGTATTTACATATCTCACACGGAAACTTTCATATTAAAATACATGGCACTCAAATCTTTAATATTACATCATTTGAGCGCTATGCATGTAAATATGAAAGTTTAGCTGTCAGATAATAAATGTATAAGAATTGTACGCTATTTATGAAATGCCTCTATTATTTACTTATGTGTCTAGGTCTGCATTTGAAGAAACGCTTAAGATTTTATTTGTGTGTGTGTGTTTTTGTTGTTGTTGTTGTCGTCACAAGTATGGATTCAAGTTCTTGAATTGTTTTCAATGTAGATGGAAAATTGAATTTAACAACATCAAATGTATGATGTAGGAGGCTTTCAAGAATATTTGCAACATTGTGCTTTTAGATTATTTGTAAATTTTTTTTTTCTCTTTCTAGTCCACCTGAATCAAAGATTTTGGATCATATTTGTCATTCGCTTAACAGGTCCATGAGACGGTTGTAAAATATGCTCTCTTCTGGGCAAGCAAATGGTTTAAACTGTAGAGTTTTCATAATCTACAAATAGGTATTTAGGAAGGACTTAATTGCAATTTATAATTTGAAATTCAGAAATAGGAGGTGCAGCCAAGGAGAGAAGAGAGCTACTTGCTAGTGAAGAAATCATGAAAACTATTCATAATAGTTTGCAAACTTCTGCTTATCTCATCGGATAAGCTACAGCTGCAGAATCAGTATTACTTTTAGGGTGGGCAAAATCACTAAATGGTTAATCTTTTTTAAGTATTAGGCAAAAAAATATATATGAGTAAACTACTAAATTGTGCAAACTACATTGTACACTTTTAGTGAATTGCAGCTTACTTTTTTTAATCACTATAGCCTAAAACTTTTAATCAGATTGTCAGCGGCAACAAAATACTTTAGATGCAAACTATGTCAAGTTGCAAGGCTTTTAATTTACTATTTTAAAATGCTAAATTTCTTTTATTTTTCAAATTCTTATTTCTGCAGATGAGCATTGGAAGGAAGTGGAAGGAGATATTGGATACCACCGATAAGATTTTATACAGTTACCATGTATGTTTGCATACCTACCAATTCATTTCTATCTATTTACATATATAACAACCCAACTTCAATTCTTACATATACGCCGCCTTATCTAGATTCACGAAAGGCATATTTCTCTTTTTAGAAGTTAAAATAGTGTTATTTTCGAAGTGATTTGAAAGATTTGGATGATATAAATGTACAAAAAAGTAAAATTTAGGTATGAGATATGTAAATGCATAAGAATTGGGTGTTAGTTATGAGACATGTAGGCTTGTAAATGCCTCAAATTCTTACTGATTCTACCCATCTTGTGCTCTTGTTATGTTATTTTTGCAGGATGACTCCAGAAGAGATAAATCAAGCAGAGGAGGTCGTTACAGTGTGTAGAGGAGAAATAAAACACTATTGAGTCTCTCTATAGTTATGCTGTGCAACTAAGATACTGTTCTGAGATATTATTATAATTATGATCATTTATATTCATTCAATAGCTTTGGATATTAATTATTGTGTCTGTGACATCATATTAAAATGGAATAATTTTTGTTATTTATATGATTATGAACTTCTGTACTGCTTTCTATTCCTTCTTATTATTATTTTTTTTCCCTTTTTCATTGCTGTGTTATTGTCATATATACCACACAATTTTTTATATTTATATATCTAACACCCAAACATTCATATTTACATGCAAATAACTCGAATATTTATCATAACAAAAATATCGCCATCACTATCTTTTTAAGGTAAAATGCATATTTCTTGCAGGCTTATGTCAGGAAGGTGTTATAAATGTAAATAGCAAATTTTGGGTGTTAGAAATCTAAATACTGCAATAATATATGTATGTATGGAATTAGAATAATCACTGATTTTAAAAGTTTTGCTCTTTTTAAGCTTTTTATATGCAAAAAGTGTAAAAAAAATATTATTTTAAAACATTTCTCTTGTTAATGAAAAATACCCTGAAATTGATTCTTCACATTAAGTAAAATAATTTTCTGATATTCTTCATCACAATTTTTTATAATGGCACCAATAGGGTTGTCAAAATGGCTCGTTGTTCGCGAACAACTCCTGTTTGGCTCGTTAAGAAGCTCGTGTTCGGCTCGTTAATTTCGTTCGATAAGTTAACGAGTCAAACACGAACTAAGATGTGCTCGTTCGTGTTCGGTTTCTTTTGGCTCGAAATATTACTCATCAAGTATATATATATATAATGTTGATTTATAATCTAATGGACTACAAGGCTATAAAGATTTATAATCAATTAAAATATTGATTAAGAAAATAGAATAAAAATTATTAAATTAGATTCAAATGATGTTTTAAAATAAATAATAATTTTTAAATCTTGCTCAAACCCTTATTGTCTTATGACTACATTATTAGGGTTGTCCCTTTTTTTCTTACCCAGTTTGTGTCGGCCTCTTAAAAAAAACGAGCCGAACACAAACACACTTTTTGAGCTCGAAATATAAACGAGCCGAACCAGCTGCAGCTCGTGTTCGGCTCATTTACACCCCTAGGCACTAATGTGTACAAATGTAAATATTAACTTGGTTTTCAGGTGTATAAATACATATGATTGATGCAGTATATACGTAAATCTCATGCAAATTCATGAAAAAAATATCATTTTTATTCAGGCTCGGAGAGCTTCAAGTATCAACCTTTCTTAGTGCAAAAAAAAAAAAAAAAAAAAAAATTTGGAAAAATTTTTCATACGTGCGGACAACGATTGCGATTCTCCCATCGAGGCAGAAAGGAGGAAAAATAGCCGCCACGATCAAGTGTATTGCAGCTGTTGCCCGCACTCAATCAAAATTATCATTCTTTCATACTATAGCAATGAGCTTGCACATACCAAAAACCTATGCTTCTATATCAAAATGCAACTCATTTTCAGAACTAAAAACATACCCTATAAATAATTCTTCATTAACATTCACAGCCCTCAGTTCAAATTAAAAGAAATAAAAAAGATAAAATAGATGAAAAGAGAACTCTTTAAATAAAAATAAATTCATTTTTCTCAATTAATCCCTAAGCAAGAAAACCAAGCTTCTCCCCATTCTTCTTAGCCAGCCTAATCAACCCCTGCCTCTGCTTCCCATCAGCTCCTATAGTCTTGCAAAACTCAGTAATAACCTACAAAACACATAAATTTACAATCCAACACATTTTTCTTTTTTTTCCTTTCCACAGAATAAAAATATAAATAAAAGAAAGAAGCAGTGCTAATAATAATAAAAAGTACCTGAGAATGAAGAGCAATCGCCTTCCCTCTAAGCTGATTGAATCTCTTCTTCCCAATAATGTTTCTTGTGAGAATTACAACAGGAGCGAAGAAACCTTTGCCTTCATTAACGTTCTTCATCATCGGACAGAGCCTCAAAGGCTTCGAGGTTCGAACAGTGGAGGAGAAGGCTTTTCTGAGAGCAGCTCTGTGCTCGCCACTAACAGTCAAGCTTCCATGGAAACTTGAGCAGAGGCCGCTGAGGCTGGAGGTGGACATGGCGGGGGTGTGGAGGGAGGGGGAAGAAGGAAAAAATGGCTTTTTTTTAGGGGGTGTTGGGAGAAGAAGGGAGATTGAAATGAGGTTTCTTGTGCTTGGTTAAAGTTGGGCTTTTTTTTTTTTGGCTGGAGGGAGCTCAGCAGCCACATAATGGAAATCTGGATGGAGATGAGGTGTGAGGTGGATGTTGTTGGGGCTTGAATTTGTTTATTTTAAATTTCATTTTTGTTTATAGTTTTGTTGGCATTTGTGCGGCTGATGTTGTTGGGGATTTGATGCAAGAACGATTGTAAATAAAGTGTTTCTTAAGAGTTTGATAATAATAAGGAAGATTTAGATCTCAAATTCTATGTATTTTCATATCTAATATCATTTTTTTTATTTATACATGTACATATAAAAATATATCAGCATGAATCTTAGGAGGATGATACTTACGATCAGACATAGCGGTTGACGGCCGTCTTGAACTGGATGTTGGCAAGAAAGGCGCCATATCCGAAGGATTGGTAAAATGTGTCAGGAGAAGTTTTACGGGGCGAAGATAAGTCCTCAAGACGATCGACAAGAGGCTCTCTTTCGGATTAGATATCAATCGAAGCAAGACTCATCAAACAATCGATAACTCTCATCAATCGAATCAGTCCCCGACCATATTATATGTGGATAACTCTATAATTACCAAAGAGACCCTCTGAAAAGTTAATAATGAGGAGTCCAATATATACTTTTGTAATGTTAAGACCTATGTCTATAAATAGAAGTCATTGTCATGAATCACTTTTTTTTACTGTTCCCTATTGTTTTATTTCTCTCTGTGTCTCTCTAGTCACTTTCCAGCCGAACATTCTATTCTTTGGGTGTGTTTCCCGGGAATTCAATATATGTACGTGTGTGTATATATATATATATATATATATATATTCAATGTCATGTTTACTCTCACTATATGTAAATTTTTTTTAAAAAAAAATAGCATTATATATATATATATATATATCAACAAATCTATGCATGAGAACGTGTGTTTCACTATTTAAAAATTAACATTTTGGCATTTCTAATGTGATATGAATAATTTCGATGGTAGAAATGTTAAAAGTAAAGTTTAGGCATTGAATATATAAATATATAGGAATTGGGTGATAAGTACCTAAAGCTTAATAATATAAAAAATAATAATATTAGCACTGAATTTTTAAATGTAGAAAAATTTTAATTGTTGAAGTATGAATTGTATGGATTTTTATCAACTTGACTATTAATTTTATGCTTATGTTGAATAACTTTAAGATCTCATGTGTATCAAATGTGCATATTATGTCTATGATATTTTTTTTCTTTATGTGTGTATTTTAGTATTTTATATAATTACTTTAGTGTTTTATGCAATATACAAGTGATTCGACAGTTTGGAGAATAAAAGGGATTAAACATACTCTAAAAGTGTTGAACCGATACCTGGAACCAGAGGACCAGACACCCAGGCGCCCAAAACCAAAGCAATATGCACTCATACTCTAATTGTGGGTGACCAGGCATTCACACACGCGAGGTTACAATTCAAAAGTCTCAATTTACATTGTTTTGTGAGGTAAGACTTAAATTAGTGTAATCTGAAGGAGGAAAGTGCACCCTTTCTAGTGCAAGAGGAGAGTTTTGTGAGGAGGGTTTCTTCGAGGAGATGTGAGACCAACTTCTCGTGTAATTGTATTGTACATGCTACTCATTCAAATCTTGTGGAGAAGGAAACAAGTATGATGGTAGAATTTCAAATGGTGTATGTTATCGTGTTCTCACACTTCTAAACTCTTGTATTTAATTTGTTTTGATAAATGAAATGCTATTTTTTTGTTTCAAAGCATGTGCAACACTTACATTTCATTCACTCCCTTGAATTGGCAGCCTAAGGATATGGGGTTTAACTTTCTTATGTGATTGAATTAAACTTTCTCTATGGTGTGGTTTTAACCTTCTACTCTTATTTACTCTCAACATGGTTAGTTATTTTGTTAATTTTTTGTGAAGTATGAGTTTTAAAAAAAAAAAAAAAGAACATAGTAGAACAATTAGGTTAAAACAACTGAATTAGGAGAATTAAAAATATTAATTCTAGCTTCGTGCAATTGTATAGGAAGAAATAAAATCATGGGGATTTTTGCATGATTTAGGGAACTAAATTATAACTTAAAATCCCAAGCGAACTAAATTATAACTTAAAATCCCAAGCCTTCTTTGACTTTCGAAAGGGGCCAAGGAAGAAATTCGCTCTTGATTGAAACTAAATAACACTATCACTAAATTTACATTTCTAAGACCAATTTATGAGAGAATCTTTCATTTGATAGAAACTCTCATTTAAATTACATAGGTTTCTTAGTTTTTTATAAAATTAGGATTAATAACTTTAAAATTTTCAAAATTCAAATTCCTTAGGTTAGATTTAAAGCTATCAAACTATAAATTTTTATATTTTGAATGTTGAATCGTTTCTCGCTAGATCTACACATGGACTCAAATCTATATGATACTTATGCGACACATACATTGACATGATTGCTGTCTGCTTCACAATAATTTTGGGCATCAATTTTTGACATTGTTGCCATATAATGACATTAATTTTCTATTTCTATGAGAATTTAGTTGAACTGTTAGCATTTAGACTTGAAACTTGTAGTATCATATTTTTATCGTATTCTATTTGATATTTTATGTGTTAGAAAATTTAAAAAAAAAATCATGTCTTAAGTTTTCTGAAAATGTTATTTTGCATATATTCTTATTTTGTCTTATTTCTATGTATTTGTGTAAATTTGTGTTTTTTGTTAGATTTAGGGTCACACACATACTAGCTCTAGGTTTGCATGCATATAATCAAAACGACAGATTTAATGCCTTTTGACTAAGAATGAAAAAAATAGACAATGAGTTTAAAAAAAACACAATTCTTAAAATTAAATACTTTGTAATGGAAAATCCCCAAGAAGAATATCTTAGATCCCTTAGGGTGTATTTTAGCTCATAAGTAGAGGAAATTCACTTGAGTATTATCAACTTTGTTGTAGAAGTCTCCTCCTTTGAACTTGAACTTGCTATTATCCAAATAGTTCATAACAATTAGTTTGAGGGATCACTCATAAAAGACCCTAACCTTCACTTGGCTAAATTCTTACAATTATTTGTACTTTCAAGTATAATGTTGTTTCCAATGATGTAGTTAGACTGTGGTCATTCCCCTTCTCATTAAGGGAAAAGACCAAAATGTGATTGAACATGTTAGCACCATAATTTATCACTACACAAGGTGACTTAGCCCAAAACTTCTTAGAGGGGTGGTCTTACACATGCTTGCTCAACATGCTAGGCATAATACTTTGTATATTGTCTGTTATTATAGTTGAATATAGTAGTGAGTAGACTCACTATCAATGAGTAAAAACTGTTTGTATATTCCTTTTTTTGATACATGCAATTATAATAATTGATTCTTTTTGGTTTACCATATAGACCACTATAATCTTGTCCTAGAACATTGAGGTGATGTGAGTAGAGTATTAACAATTAAACTAGGCCTCATTGAGTTTTTTACTCATGTGCGAGCATTCATGAGTCACTAGTGTCACAACTCACTGTATTTATATCATAATTTATGAGAAAAGTATTTTAGGAAAGTTAATTGTATAAAATTCTTCATAGCATGACTTATGGGATAAATATTGTAATCATTAAGATGATGTCTCATTGGGTGTCTTGCTTATTTTTTCAAACTCTAATACCTACAAGCAAGCAACTCATAAACCTTGCTATTTAAGATCACCAAATTTGAACTATTGGAATAAAACATATTGATGTGCATATGTTTTGACAAGTTGACAAAGCAAACATGAAATTCTATGAAAACACAAAAAAATATCTTTAGATAATGTCATTTTGTAACTTAAAGCTAAAGCTAGATGATTAGCTTTATTAGAACTTGATATAATTTGATTCCCATGTTTAATAAGAAGAGAATATTGGTTTATTTTTATCGAATGGATAATTTCCATCCAATTTTAGAATCATTTGTTGACTTTAGGATGTATAGTCAACATGAATATATCATATTATAAGTAAAGATTATAAGTGAGCAACATATGACAATCATATTCTATAAAAGACAAGTGCTCAGTTTATATCACTTGGCTTCACTCTATCAATCTTCCTTAGTTGGTGATGAACATTCTTCATGGCCCATTCCTCTTATCAATAATAGGGAAAATAACCTATATGTGCAATTTTGAATAATCAACTAGTTCATCACCACCATCAAGAATGTGTCATTAAGATTGCAGAATACGATGAAAGTGTAATCAATCATATTATACCAAGTTAAAGTGTTTTTATAAGAATTGAGAACTATTGATTTGATAATAAAAAGTGATATTAATTTATTCTCTTGAATATAATTTAATTTTAAAGTGAAAGGGTCTTAACGTGAGCACTAAAACAATAAAAAAATGGTCCAATATTGTTTTGGGGCCATTTGGTCAACTAGAGAGAGGAGAGTGCAGTTAATGAGGAAATATGCATAATAAGAGCCTCTGACTTAAAAAAATATACATCCTAACTTGAGGTTGAAAGGAGAATATTTCAAATGAAAATTATTCTCTCATTAAAATAAAAATCTGGCATAGATAATTTGATATGAGAGGAGTGTCACTGTAAAGAAGAGGGAGAAATGGAGTAAGATATGTTAAAATGATTGCATATACTTGGTTTGACTTTGAGATATATATTTATGGTATAACAAGGGATAAGAGTCCATTATTAACATATATGTATAAGTTATTCTGTTATGTTGGTTTTTGAAGAAGGTGAAGAAGAAGAGGGGAATGACTCATTTGTATTTTTAAAATTATTCACGCAGGTTGTGATGCCTTGTATGTTGCTGAATGAGGAGGTATTATAGTGACTTGGTTGACCTTTAATTGGTGCCTAAAGAGTTGTTAAAAAGGCCTAAAAGTGCTTGCCACTGCCTTTATTAATAATTGTGGTTGGCGACCTTTAATTAGTGTATACAGGGTTGTTATAGCTGCCTTTTGATTAACTTGTGACTCATTTATCCTTGGTTCTGGTTGGATATTAGTACAAGTGACATGTAGCAACCTGACAGACTTTGGATTGAATATGCTTAAATAGGTTCAATGTGCATTGGTGATGGGTGGAGTGTTAACCATCATATACAAAACAGACTAGCATGCACACTAAGAAAATCTTGGTATATAATACTAGTTGTCCTCTAAGTGGCATGACCAAGAAATAATGAAAATGGTCAGTTTTTTTGAGATTCGATCAATAAGTAACTGATAACACTATTGTGAAACCTTATGGAAAGATATTAAGAGTTATAAGTACATGAATGGAAAGGTAATATGTTATGGTTGGTCTATAAGCCAAGTAATTGGAAATGACTTTAGGCTATCGGCTTAATCTTGATCGATTCTTGGATCCCAAAGATATAAATTTTGGGCAAAGAGACATGGGATAAAGGACATCTTCAAAAAATGAAGACTAGTAGTATAATTTTAAGATTTAAAGGTCATGAGTTCCAAAGGATTATTTATTAGGAGTTGGACTAAAATCTATTTGCCAAATGGAGATCACCAAAAAGCAAGAATCTAAGCATCTTTACTCTCCCTTATATTTTATTTTTAATTATTCTTTTGTAAAGGATTTAATTTTTTTTTTGAAGTTTATTTAGTTATTTTCATTTGTGGTGACTAGACCTAGACATTAGGTGAGTAGCCTGACATGTTTGTCATACGCTTGTTTATAACGAGTAAACTTAGCTATGAAAAAATAGAAATTTGATGGCAGGCTTGACCCGACTATAGACTGCCTTGACTCAGTCATAGCTCGAATAAGCCAGTCTCATGCCAAGCCCGTCCCCCGCGCCAGCCCAATGCCTAGTTAATATTTTCGTGGCATTTACATGCATGCCACACAGTTCTTATATATTTTGGTATCTAACACCTAAACTTTCATATTTATATACATATCCCTCAAAATTTTAATGTCACATAAACATTGCTGCTATTACTCACTTTTTAAACCTGAAATATACATTTTCATGCATGAACTTAAGATACAAAAGTATCATAAATGTAAATATTAACATTTAGGTGTAACGTTAGGTGTTTGTTACAGTAAACATTACGGTATATATGTAAATTTTTCTTAAAAAAATGACAAACAAAAGAGGTAATTTCACCAATTTTTATAGCAAAAATATACGCTGTATCATTTCAACTAATCTAAAAAATAAACACTATAGTTTTGTTCTTTTGGGTAAATTTTGTTTTGACAGTTTTTAAAAAATCTGTCACAAAAATCTACGTTTTCCCACCAATCCTGACTATGAGCGGTGACAATTTTTTAACTACGGTCTGACTTTAAAATTTTTTTTATGACAACCACTATAATTTTTTTTTTAGCATCAAATTATTTTAAACAGCTTCACAAATTTTTTTTAATAAGCTGCAATTGCCCCCTCAGATTGTGGAAAAAAAATATTACATGCGGACTCCGCAAGTAGACTCCACATGCAGAGCTGCTTGCGGAGTCTAACCTTGAGCTGACACGTGGAAGGCCGACCCACTTACATGAAAAATGAAAAAAAAAAAAAAAACAAAACCACGCGACTCGGGTCGACCGATGTCTTATAGGAATATTTCATCGCATATGAATATTCCCTCACATTATTCTGAATATTCCCCGCATTATTGGTATGTTATTGTTGCGTTATTAAGTTGATTCAAACAAATGACAAAATAAAAATTTTTACTGATGTGCTATTGTCATGAAAGTGATTTTGAGTTGGTATTGTTGTTTAAAGAACAATAACTTCTTAAAATCACCGCAGTCACTGTTTTCAGTGTGTTATTTGTGTTATTCTGTGTTATTGAAGTGATAAAATCCAATGACAAAACGAAAATTCCCACTTATGTGACATTCATGTGTTATGAAGTTGATTTTGAGTTGATATTGTTGTTTAAAGAACAATAAAATCTCAAAATCAACTCACTCGTTGTTTTTAATGTGTTCATAATGTGTTATTCATGTGATACAATCCAATAACAAGATAAAAACTTATATTGATATGTTATTCATGTGTTATGTAAGTCATTTTGAGTTGATATTGTTGTTTGAAGAACAATAACCTCTCAAAATCACTCCAATAACACAACAATAACACATGAATAACACGAAAAATATTCAGAATAACGCGAGAAAATATTTCTTTAACACGGCAGTAAGGATAAATAGCACAGATCCGATCGGGTCACACATTTTTATTTATAATGAAGATAAGCACGAATTTCCATATCTCAGCTAGAGATTAGACTCTGCAAGTAGCTCTGCATCTGCATAGAAGTTCGTATGTAATATATATATATGCTAGAACTAATCAGCATTGGGAACATCACGACCGTCCGTGCCTCCGTCTCAACAGCAGGGCTTCCAATCTTCTTCTACACTCGTTTCCTCGTTCGACCTTCCCTCAGGTTTCACATACCGCCGCAGCGGCTATATCTTTCCTGAAAACCCTAGATTCCTTCAGATCATTTTGGTTGAGGGAGAAGGGATCGATGGATTCTGATAAGGGGAAGCTCTTTATCGGGGGAATTTCTTGGGAAACAACTGAAGAGAAGCTGAGCGATCACTTCGGTAAATACGGAAATGTCCTGCAGACAGCGGTGATGAGGGATAAAATCACCGGTAAGCCAAGGGGTTTCGGATTCGTTGTCTTCGCGGATCCATCCATTGTCGACCTAGTCCTTCAAGATACACACGCCATTGAAGGCCGCACCGTGAGTAGCGTTTTCTATAGTTTTTTTCACCTAGAGATTTTCTTATTTCTTCTGACACTCTCTTTATGTTTAATCTTATCCGTTGCCACTTTGAGGATTCAGTTATTCTTTAATATTGTGATGTGAAAACATTTGATGATTGCTCGTATTTAAACTATCTCCAGATATAAATTGAATTGCTTCAGACAAAGAGAACTTTATCCTTGCAAATCTGTGTTCTTCCTTCGAAGACATGCAAAATATTATCAGCAACAGATTTGTTTGATTCTAAAAAATTGAAAACGCTTTCACTTTGATACCACGTTTATTGTCCCAAGCAATGGAAGCCATTCATTGTGAAAATGTTGATGATGATCAAATGATCTTACAAAATTTGGAATTCTTGTATGCCTCTAGTTCTAATTGATGTTAAAGAGAATGAAAAGCTTTGATCTTGATTTTGAATGTCATAAAAAGAAAATCTAACTTGGTGGAGGATGATATATATATATATATATA